TTCTGGAACGACTGACCACCACTGCCTCCTTCATTGGCACCCCCTTTTCCGTACTGGACAAGAGCTGTTTGCTGTCTGCACTGGGAATTCTATGCTTTCAAGACCAGGCACCTCATTTACAGTTGCTGGAATGGGCCTCTTTCATTCTGCTGTTTACACGCAGCGCTGAGACGGCGTTTTATTCCTTATGGTAAATTTATCATCACTTGAGACGGCGTTTTATTCCTTATGGTAAATTTATCATCAATAGCTAGTACACATTTCTGTGCCACGGAAAATTCCCGGCGGGGGGCTGGGTGTGTGTGTGGAATCATGAAAACATAATGGGTTCTGCAAGTAGCAGCGGTTCTATTATGCAACTTGCCCAAACCTGACGAGTGGCATCACTCCGCTCTCGGCCCACCCTCCTCCCTCAGAAGCCCCGGGGCGCTGGACCCCACCTGCACCAGCAGTGGTGGGCGGAAACCCACAGGCTCTTCCTCCTCTGTCCACACTTCCGAATTTAAATGGGTTCTTGGTTTAAAACGTGTAGCAGGACCTGACTGAAGACATCTACCTCACGGGGAGTGGTTGTCCTTTTCTGCCCACTCACCCTTCAAGAGCAAAGCACCGGCACGTCGGGACGTGACCTGGTTTTCTGGGATAGGTACTGGCCTCGGCACAGGATATGTCTATTTGATACACCCACCGTCTACAGCAGGGGTTCTCAACCTTCCTAATGCCACTACCCTGTAATACAGTTCCTCATGTTGTGGTGACCCCCAACCATAACATTATTTTCGTTGTTACTTCATAACTTTAATTTTGCTACTGTTATGAATTATTCGACACACCCCAAGGGGTCACGACCCACAGGTTGAGAATCGCTGATAACAGCACTCTAGGCATCTCTTACCGCACGCGACAAGGAGACCTGAAGATGTACGGACACAGCATACAGGGGGATTGTGCTGGACAGTCTGAAAATAAAGCCAGGCTCATCAAACCAGACGATGCAGCTTCAAAAAGCTCATAAAACAGATCCAGACGGCCTGGACGGGAGGATCCACGGTCCCTGTACCCAAGTATCGGAGTTTGACAGACAGGAGCGTGGTGGTGACGGAGCGGACACATTGGCACCTGAGGTCTGAGTGGGCCTGTGGTGGCAGCACCGCACCCAGAACGTTGCGGGTTCCCCACATGTTTCCTCTGCAAACCACTCACAGTGCCTGTGAACGCCCCCACCACAGTCTCAGTCCCCCTGTCCTGGATTTCAAGTGGCCCTTAGGTGCAGCAGTCACACAGTTCCAGCTCCGCGGGGGGAAACACAGAAAACCCCATGGACAGACCAAACGCCCTGGGCTATCTTCTCAAACGGAGAACCCCACGCTATGCATCGAGTCATCGATATAGAATGTACAACATGCACCAACTGGCCACACATGGACAGACACATACAATACCTTCTAAGTAAGTAATTAGAAGTGTTTGGTCCAATCCACATGACAGATCATAAGGGACAGGACACCTGCCCTCTTCCATACCTCCGCCACCTCAATACACAAACCCCATTTTCCGATTAGGACCGAAGGGGATAAATAGAATCACCCACTGCTTCCATACACACGTGCGCACACACATACACGCGCGCCATAGATATAGATCTTTTAATATGTATAGCTATGCATGTACACACACATACATACAGTTGGACAACACCTGAATCGCATCATAGCAACATCATACCAGGAGGCCCCAAACACCAGAATTCGTAGATCAGGCGAACCGATGTTAAAATGCAGCTACCAGTCTCTTGAGAGCTTGGTGTTCTGGTCTCTCTTGGGGGGTGCAGGCGGAGGCCCTCTGCGCAAGGTTGCATAGCCCGATATGTGACTGCCCCCGAGAGCAGCCTTCTGTTGTTCAGAAAGCAGTTCCGGGGGCGGTGGGGGCAGGGCCATGTCGTCCATGGTGGCTGTGGGCTCTGGCCGGGACATGCGGGCGGAGGAGAGCGAGCCGTGCCGGGTGATGGACTTCCGTTGCAGTGTCCTGTTGAGGTCGGCCAGGAATCCAGGC